CTATCTTGTGGCATGCAGGCTTAACAAGCACAGGGTAACAAATAAGTTGAAAAAGGCAGTTGAAAAATTTAGAATCAGTCGGAGTTGTAAAAATTCAACTAGTTGAATAAATCAGTCAAATTGTAGAGTCAGTGAGAAATAGATTTGTGACTGATTCTGGGGACTACTGTATGGCTTGACTTATACTGCCATAGCTACATTACACATACATACTCTGCTGGTTGAACAATCTTTACATTCTGTCCACCTTTTTGACACTTTAACACTATGCCGGAAGTTCTTTTGAGAATACCTTTTGTTATGCCATGCTGTTGGGTGAAGACTATTCCCTGCATTAGATAGATGTGGACTCCCACAGAGTGATGTCCCATTAGGCCCCACTCTCTGAGGCAATCCACCAAGATCCTGAGGTTGTTTGGGGGGATACGTTTGCCCTAATTACATCCTTGTTGGCACATTCTTTACACATGTGACTCCTCTGTTGTTGAGATTTTTTTTGGGAGAGATGTGGTTTTGGCCCACGTTCATTTGCCATCTCCTTATCTTTGGGACTTACACCTCACCCCTTTTCTCCATTGGTCAGTGTTTGGAAATATTCTAGCAACTGGTGGCCTGTGATTGATCTGTTGTTTTACCATGGAGTCGTTTCCCATTGGCAGTTGGTATTTTTCTCCAGGTTTATGGATGACCAAGGCTGATGTCTTGAATGCTTATCTCCATATTCCCATATCACAGCAGTTGAAATACTATCTTTGGTTTGTTCATCACGGGGTAGTTTATCAATTTCTCTCTTATCTTTTCGGGTTTGCAACAGCACCGTATATCTTTTGTCGGTGTCAAGGCTTTTGCCAGACTTATGCACACTCAAGAGTTGTACTTCCACCATTACATGGATGACTGGCTTCTGTTGGCTCATTCCAAACTGCCTAACACATTCATCTGTTGTTTTTTTTTTTTTTTGAAGGCAGCTTGGGTTAGCTGGTTAATCAAGTTGGAGAAATTCTTCTTTGCTTCTACCCAGTATCTTATCTACTTGGGTGTTTGTTCAACACTCATCTCAGTGGGGCCCAATCTCCTCTTCATCTCTGTTCGATGGAGCTGACAATCAACAATGCCCTTACTGCTTGCAAGGCCCTATCTCTTTTGGGGATGTGGTCTTTTATGGACTCTTTATGTTTAATGGAACCTTGCATGGGATCTCTTGGATATTCCTATTACCCTTCTCTTGTAGATGATCTGCATTGGTGGTTGGACAAGGCTCACACTTTGGTGGGGGTTCTGCTTCCTCCTCCTCATTTACATATTTTCACAGATGCTTTACTTCACAGCTGGGGGGCATGGATCAAGCACATAGTCACTTCAGGTCAACAGTCTACAACAGAATGGTCTTACCATATTAATATCCTGGAGGTTGCTGTCCATCAGGCTTTGGATCATTTTCTTCTTCTTGCCTTCAATCATCTGATTATGATCCATACAGACAATTCTATGGTAGTGGCATATATCAATCACTAAGGAGGCACCCGTTCTTGTTCCCTTTGTTATTGAAAGTTGGATCTCCTTTTTTGGCTCGCATGCACATTATTCATCTACTTGCAAGTTTTGTTCTGTGAGCTTTCAACTTTGTTGTGGATTGTCTATTCCACCTGGACAAAAGTTATCTGATGGAATGGTCTCTAGATTATTAAGTTTTCCAGTAATTATGCACTTGGACTAGTCTTATCTTCTCACCCTTCTAGCTTACTGTGTTCCACAGGTGATGAATGTGGTAGTAGGTCCATTCTCTTAATCCAAACAGATTCTCCTTACAATGCTCTGTTCAATTGGATTGCTTCTCATTATGCAATTCTAGTTGGATCACCCAATAGGATGGGATTACCACTCTCAAACTTCTCTCCCCACTCCATATGTTACCCAGGGTACAAAATTTTATTTGTTCCAACCCATTGTCAGATCCTGTTGATCGCACTAGATTGGTGGCTACACCTGGGTATCTGCTTCTGTGGTCCCTTCCAGTGTGTCCAACTCTTCCACTTCTTTTTAGACTCTTTCTGTGGAGGCAGCCATGATCGGATTTGGTGCATCCGGCTATCCAGAAGCTCAAGTTTCTGGTATAGTGGTTATGCTGTCTTTCACATGGCATTGGGGTTTATTTTATAAGGTTGACATGTATCTGGCTCAATTTCTGCTTAGTCCAAAAGTCACTTTTTTCAAAGGTAATGACATGCATATTGGCAATGTTGTATTGAGAGAAGTTTGAACCCTTTTCAATCAGTGGTGTCAACCATAACTCGTTTTTTTTACTTGGTTCTTTGACAGAGGTATTTGCATCTTTCACAGTTGTCATTCTATATGGCGGCCTTATCAAATACCGTTCAATTATCACATCATTTTGGGTAGTTGGTCAAAATGACCATTCCAGTTACCTAACAGGTAAATTCAGGTTACATGTTCTTTCTCTATACTTGTTTGTGACCTGACTCTTATATGCCATGTATCCCCTGTACCTGCAAGTATATTTTTTGTGGCTGCTGACCTCCAGACATCACTGGTCAGAATTATTTGCGCTATTTGTCCACAGATCACTTTCTCATTCTCTTTAAGTTCTCAGTTCAGTTCTTCTTATCCAACACACTGTCAGACAGGAAAGGGATTCAATCCTTTTCTGTGATTCATCTGCTCATTCTTTCACTCTATATCCAATGAGATTTCAATTTTGGTCATGTTCAATGAGGATCTTGAAGGTTTTGTTGCCTTACTTATACCTTTAGGGATAATGGACATAATTCCAGACTGCATGAGTTCTGTTCCTTTGGTTGAGTAAGGCATACACAATCCCATTTTTCCGAGCCTTGGGTGTTGCCTTTTGGGCTTCTTCAAGTGAAGAAGAAGGTTTGTCCGCTTCAGTGTTGCTTACTTTCTCATTATGAGTCCTGTGGTTTGGAACAAATCACTCTATTGGTTACACGTCGGGATCCAATCAAAAGTATATGTAACATTGCAGTACAATTGCCCTAGCCACCAGCATGGGACGTAGGGACTTGCAACCCCAAGTAGTGGAACCTCGGCTATCATGTAGTGAATGAAACACAGTAGCCCTGCTCACTTCTTTCCATTTTTGGAAAAGCTCCCTTATATACACTTACTTCTCTCTGTAATGGCCTCCCAGTGGCACAGCAGTATATCTGCAGACTTATAACATTAGAATCCGGGTTTCGATACCCGTGGTGAGCAGAGCACACATAGCCCATTGTGTAGCTTTGTGCTTAATTGTAAACAAACTGTCTATAATGTGTGAATAACTAATCAAAAGCTCAGAATGTTCACTTAATGGCTTTTTCAGCCATTTTCAAGTATTACAATGTCATCTCGTTCTTTCAATACAAAGCTTCAAGCTGGTAAGGTGAGTCTTTAGTCTGCTCGAAATTTTATATTTTTTTAGACTTAAATACAGCTTAATTACTAAGCTTGATAAAGTATAGTGGAATTCTGTGGTATCAATATAGTAATTTATGATTTTTGGTTATTTCAAATGTATATATATATAAAACCTGAAAAAAATTATTTCATTATAAATCCTCCATGGGCCAAATTGAATAAGGCTTAGCAACTTACGACAAGCAGTAAACGAGTACAAAGGTCATAACCAGAAGAGATAATTGTGTACTTCTTTATTTACTGTTCTATGATTTAAGAAAAATAAGCTTAAGAACTTGTTGTAAATTGCAATAATGTATATACATAATATATGTATAATAATTGAAAAGTGATGTGCATTTATGCCTTGTCATTATAACTTCTGAAAGGTCAATATAATATATATATGTATAATGCTATGAAATTTAAGCTGTTTAGTCTAAACATTTTTGTAATAATTTGTGTTCATTCTAGAATGAAGGAGGCATAATTTATATTTATTTCATAATTTTTTATGGTGGTTATGAAATCAGTCAAATTGACTGAACCCATACAGAGATTCATTAGTGAAAATATCAGATAAAATATAAAGTTTTTTCGTAAGAAATGTTTGATAACTATTTTGATGTCATAACAATTTCACATGTGAAATTTGAAAATTTTCTGATGCATAAAAGTATTTTTAATCTTAAAATGAAAATTACTTTGCATGTTGTATAAAACATGTGAAAAGAAAAGACATGAGAAAAACATTGCTTAACAAATCTTAAGACTTAATAAAAAAAAATTGATATTTTGCATATGAAAGCTTTTAGTGTTTACTGATAATCTGCCAAATTTTGTGAACATGTGCTTACTAATATAAAAGTTATAGCATGAAAACTATAACAAGCACAAAATGATTACAAAAGAATTAAATGGGCAATTTTTTATGGCTGCCATTTTGTTTCATTACAATCCCTACTATGAAGTACTACTGTACTTAATGATTATTGTGGTACATGCACTTATTTCTGTAACTTGGCAAGGTACAATTTCAGAATTGTAACAAATGCTGTATTTTACACATTCCTCTCTATATTCTGAGTGAATATTAAATTCTACTCCTCTTCAAATTATCATTCACTGGCAGGAAATATTCAGTAGGATTAGAAAATTTTTGCAATTACAAGTTGTAGATTTAACACATACAGTAGCTTATTTTGTATTCTTCACTGTGATGTCGTTCTCATTCCTGTTTCTGTATGAAAATCTTTTACATTAGGGTTTGTAACAATAATTGTTTTTATATTTTTGTACGATTGTTTTTTAAAAATTTAAAGCAGTAATGTTTCTTAAAAATGAAGAAGTGGTTTTATTTTCTCAATGACTCACTTCATTGATATTTTAAAGTTAAATTTTTTAAACTGCAGGTCAAATATGTGTGTGACATGTTTATTAAAGTTTATTGAAAAAGTCAGAAGTTTTTATTCATTATTTTATTTTATTTTTTTAGTTCTGTTTGTAAGTTTCATAAATTTTAAAATAGGGTTACATTCTGTTTTATCTATTTTATAAAACAGCATTTATTACTTTCTTATTAGGAGAAATGCTGTTGATGCATTTCGAGTAAACGTCATTCATGCTAGACATCAAGTAAAGAGTCCAGTAACTAACATAGCTAGAACCAGTTACTTCCACATAAAGCGGGCAAATATTTGGTTGGCAGCTGTAACCCGACAAAATGTAAATGCTTCAATGGTTTTTCAGTTTCTTCACAAGACTGTGGAAGTCATGCAGTCATATTTTGGCAAAATCACTGAAGATAACGTGAAAAATAATTTTGTGCTAGTATACGAGTTGCTTGATGGTAAGTAATATATTCTATTTTATTTTCAAAGTTTTATAATTATAACTTAAACCAACTATTTATTTCACTCTTAAAATATTTTTGGTAACCACTGCTTTATTATTAGTAAAAAAAACAGTTGCTGCCAAACTAGTAATGTACTAAAACATTTATATGCACTGGTTACCCCTTCTGTACAAGATAGCCAGGTAGTCATCATAATCAACACTGAAGTACTACAAATAACAACTACTTGACTGATCTATGTGTGAAGCTTCTAGCCTTAGCAAACCAAGTTATATTTTGTGGCAATTCAAGACAGTCCACATGGATTAGCCAACATGAAACCATGAAGAATTTTTCTTAATTGTTTTCAATTTCAAGCAAGCTTTATGGGAAAAAGATGTAAATCTTATATTTATGAGAGATATTCCAAGATGAATTATTTAATGCTACTTTTTGTCTTTGAATGTCAAAAATGAATGATACACATTACATGTTGAGAGTGTATTTATAATCATAATGCATTATTTTGAAAAGTCTATTTGCCCTAATTTTAGCCTGTGTTTGCTTGTAAAAAAATAAGTTGAGTGTTTCAGTTAGATAACCTCTTTTCAAAATTGTTGATTTGTTATGGTTAGCAAAGTGTAATTGAAATATTATTTACACTCTTTATTATTTTTAGAAATGTTCTTTAGAGAAGAGAATTTTGATAGGAGTTAGAGAAATTAATCACATATTTTTAAATATATATAAATTATTACTTTTATTTATTTATTTTCACTACTACAAAATGTACTAGTCACAAGTGCTACCTCATGTTTCCTGTGGAAGCCTATACACACCCAGTTTTTTTAGATGTCAGGAGTTCTGGTTGCTGGTCATACAAACAGGATGTGAATTACAAATGTATAATAATTAGCTAGTTTGTGTGATGAATATTTTAGTTTTATTTACATATATGTGTGTATGCGTGTTGTATACTAAATATTGAGAACAGCATTTAATTGTTTTCTGTATTGATATTGATAGAAATCCTAGATTTTGGATATCCACAAAATACAGATACTGGCATACTGAAAACGTACATTACCCAACAAGGAGTTAAATCTCAAAGCAAAGAAGAACAAAGTCAAATTACATCTCAAGTCACTGGACAAATTGGTTGGAGAAGAGAAGGAATCAAGTATCGCCGCAATGAACTTTTCTTGGATGTTCTTGAATATGTAAATTTATTAATGTCCCCTCAAGGTAAAATAATGCAAGTTTAAGACAGAAGGATGTGTTTAACAGTTATCCAGCATTTATGTATAACATTTGGGATATTTTTGTCATATTTGTTTAAATTATAGATTATTTGACAAAATATAAAATTTATGGCCTCTAATTTCTAAAGAAGTTTTCTTAACGAGCATTGTTACCTTAGGTGCAAAAATGTAATTCCAAGTGTTAATACTACCTTTTGATTAAAGCAAGATACTTACACAGATCAAATCAGAAACTAAAATATATACTTAGTGATGAGTACAGCTAATTAAATATATTGTTCAAACTATTTTGCTTACAATGATTATAATGTGTTGTTTCATTAGTTGGGTACTCTCATTCTTAATTATATTTTTGGTTGCAAACCCAATAATCTCTTACAAGGTTAGGCCAACCAAGGAGGTTTAGGCTAGCATAAATCCATATAATATGTTGACAATGCAGGATAATCATTAAATTAAATGGTAATTTTACAATTAAAGTAGGAAAAATAAAAGTAGATGTATTAAATTTTCTAGAAATTAAACACTTGTGTATTTTTATTTCTTAAAGATGGTGTGTTCAGTTAGCACCTATGTGATTAACTATATTTGGACTGTGTGTGTCCATACTGTGGTAATAGTTACACTTTTTTTTTAGGTCGATGTCCAAGTAAGAACTATCACACCACAGTAAAAGTTATACTTGGCTTGGCCAGCATAGTAAGCTTAGACTAGGATTAGATGCATAAACTAATCTACCAACATGAAATCATCTTTATAATAAAGAATAATATAATTAAAACTAGTGTTACAACAGACTAACCATTACAGTAAGATAAACTTTAAAAATATTTTTAGAACAAATTAAAAAGTAATAAGTACAAGTAAATATGGCTGAAAAAAATGAAAACTTATAAGTCAGTCTGATTTGTTTTTGTTTTTTTTAATATATATAGTATAATGGCAAAAAAATGATTTATTTTTCTGTTTCAAGTAATGTATTATGGAACAAATGACTTTTAGGAATTGTTAAATATATCAAAACAATTATCCATAATTTTGAAATGTTTTTACTGTAATGTTATACACTCATTAGTAATGTATCATTTCAGGGCAAGTGCTGAGTGCTCATGTAGCAGGAAAAATTATGATGAAATCTTACCTAAGTGGAATGCCAGAGTGCAAGTTTGGAGTCAATGACAAGATAACAGTTGAAAATGTAAACAAGGGAGTTCCTATAGCAGAACCAAGTCAAACGTTAGTTAGCTTTATACTGTCTTTTTTTTTTTTTCTATGGATTTTAATGTTTCATCTTGTTTTTGTGAAATTTGTTCAAGTGATACTTCTTCACGTTTTTGGTTCTGCTTTACTATTTTATTTAATATAAACAACAAGTATTTATTTTTATTTCTTTACAATAGTTTAAAACTCAATGCTGATTAATCAGATGTTCAAGATTGCACTATTAAATGTCAAGATAAAGATAATTTCGATACCATATCTTACCTCCTTTCATAAATAGCTTTTCTCGACTTATACTACCGTTTATAAGTGCAGATTTTCACTCTCTGCTAGCCTTCGTACTCCCACCAACCCTGACGTGTATTCACGGGGCACATGAATACTATTATACAAATGATCATGCAGTAACTTTCTACCAATAGGATTGCAACACAACTCCTGTCATCACTAGTGCCCTCTCTTCCATACAACCCATAATCACTTCTCGATTGGCAGTCTTACTGACAGGACATCTTTTTGCATGTGTTTTCAGACTGAATTTGTAATTAATTGATCAAATTTCCTGCTTCTTATTTGGCTGTATATTTTTTTTCCATACATTTTTAAATTTTTACAGTTTTCCAAATTCCGTTTAAGAACATGTTTTTTTTCTTCGTTTTCTTTGCAGGTGCCTTTGTCACATATTTGGATCCTGCTCAGTGGTGAGTGTTGCCTGACTAGGTATACTTATTTTTAAATCCACACTATAAGACCTGTGTGCAAATACACCCACCTTTGAGATGGGATGTTCCACAAGTTTGCTTATTGGTATTCCTTGTGGTATTTTGCTTCTTAAAGATGTTCGCCCTTGACCATGCACTCATGGACAAACATGAGTAAAGCAGCAAATGGGGTATGCTGCCCATCCCTAATGGTCTGTGTGGTGTAGGTTAGTGGATCTGTCTGCTTTTCAAAATAAGATGTTGGAGTCACCCATTGCACTGTCTCTAGTGCAGCTTTCCTCTGGACTCTTCTTGTGTAGTATGGGAGTTCTTTCCACTTAAAAGTTCCTAGCCACTGGGATGGTGAACCATGGAGGCTTCTTCCTCACTGTGCTCATTCCCACTCAGTTGAGTGTAGGGTGGTGGTGTTCTATTGGTGTAGATGGCATTGATGCTCATCCTACAATGGACCTGTTGTACAATTCCAGATGGTGTCATGTGTCGGATGATACATTCCACTGGTATGCAGTTTACCCATCTGGCTGAGGCACCCTCCTTCCTACCATCCCCTGGATGTTGGTTCCTAGTAAATACGGTAATGATTGGAGCTGGACCAGCCACACAAGTTCTCACATGTGTGTGGCTAGGTACCCTGTGGACTGGACAATACATTCCCAATGTCACCTGGTGTTGGAAAGGCACCCCTACTTTATTGTCCACCTTCCTATTGTCCCCCAGATATTGGTTTCTAGCAGCTATGGTGATGGATGGGCACACATGATGATGTGGATCCTTGGTATGGAGGCTGAAAGGTAGAGAACCATCTTCCTACTGTAAGCTGAATATCCCCATGACAGTTCTCCTGGTATTGGTTGAAGTAATTCTCCCATTTATGGTCCCACTCTACACCTGGGGTCCCTTAATTTCACATGTGTGACTGAGTACCATCCTCCTACTGCGGACTGGAATATACATTCCCAATGCTGCCTGGTGATGGACTGGAGATGAATCCCCACTTTGTTGTCCACCTTCATACCATCCTCTGAATGTTGGTTCCTGGCAGATATGGTGTTGAATGTGCATACATGATTATGCAGAGGGGTCCCTCCTATGATTCCACCTTTATTGCAACACATTTGTATGTGGGCGAAGAGCATACCTGGCTCAGAATTGGCCCAGTCTTTCATGAGGGTGTGTCGCACACCTTGTGATCTTTCTTCAGGTGCTTTCTAAAAGGGAATCATCACTCATCAGACAGTCTGCCAACTCAGTGTGGAATTCTCGCTGTTTGTGAGAAAAGATAAGTTGTATCGGAAATCAACATTTTCCTACACTGAAAATGTGTTTCCAATAGATACTTACCTCCTCTCACATTTCTCAGCCGATCTCCCCACTTCTGGTGTAGGTTTTTTTATGTAATACCCCATCTCAATGTAATTACAGGATGCATGGAAAAGAGGGTGCTAATGACAATAGTTGGGTCGCACTCCTATTGATGAAGGGTTGCTGCATGATCATTTGCATTATAACATGGAGATGTTTTATGAGAATACATGTGAGAGTAGGTGGAAGTATCAAAGCTAGTAGTAAGCAAACATTTGCACCTATAGAGGGCAGTATAAGTCAAGAAAAGCTATTTGTGAGGGGGGTAAGTATCTATTGGAAATACATTTTCAGTGTAGGAATATGTTAATTTTTTCACATATAGCTCTAAGTTTATACATTAAAAAAATAGTGCTTGTTGAAACTACAGGCTGAGCAACATGGTAGTGCATATTTATTTTAAAAATTGACTATTCTTTAGTTACATTTTTCTCATTGGTGATATGAAATAATTTGAGACTTATTTAGTAATGAAAGTAAACTTCACTTTAACTCTTTGAAAATGTTAGGGAAGCTTTGTTCTTTAATTGAAGTTTTTGTCTCCTGAGTATTTTCCTTTCTATAGTTTAACTTCACTACAAATTCTGTGATATTAACGTGTAGCATAGATATGTCCCATTACTTTCTCTTTATGATTGACTGTAACCTGAAATGTTGTTGAAAATTAAAAATCCTTGATTCGTGTACCCACGTTTATAAGTGTGCAAAAAATATTATAATCAAAGTAAAAAAAAATCAGTGAAGCTTATTCATCATAGAATATATTCAGTCATTTCTATAAAGTGATATGTCTGACACGTGGAGATACTACAAGGAGTTGAAGAGGAGTTCAGACATAACATACAATTAACAATTATCACTGGTAGTTATAATTTGCAGATGTTGATGGATGTTCACAACTAATAAGGTTTGTCAGGATATTCGTGTTGCTACAGGTACGAAACTTTCAACCAAGCTACAAGAAACCACGGTCCTTATGCTAGATAGCTTGTCACTGACTGGTTAGCTATCAATTAGTCTTGGAATTTTTTCTTCGGGGACTAGCAACATGGAAGCTTTTTCTACTGAGCCAACAAGACTTAGATTAATCTTTGGTGGACATCAACAAGTTATGTGTATGAAAGAAACCTGAATTTCATGTCATGGAAGATCATGTTTTAGGCAGGTATTATGCACATTGCCTATATGCTGTTAATTCCACATGATGTTTTTTGTAACAGGAATGTAACAGTAGTGCCTGTCTTCATCTTGCATCTTTATTTAAGAGTTAATTTTGCCAAAGAAGACTTTAAAGTCTTCGGAATGACTTGCTCAATTATCTGATGAGGGTTCTAATAAACATGCAGAAAGCATGCAACTGTACGTTCCACTTACACAATGAGGTATTATTATAAAGGAATGTAACAGCATCCCCTAGAATGACCTTAATATTCTCTTGGCCAGTATCTCCAGTTGGAAAATAGAATGCCTGAAGGCCAAGGCTAACCATATGGTACGAGCAATGTTGAGTGTCTTCTTCCTCTCAAGTTTCTAATTCCTCTTTAACTTCTATATCTTGTCACGTATTGTCATGAGAACACCTTTAGTCTGATTATCACCCAGATTGATGTGATGCTTGTTGATATGCTTCTACATTCACTATATATATATTGTTCTTATGTTTGGTATGCATGGTATCATCAGTTTTTGATTAATGCACTACTCTTTAGAACAGTGTATATTGAAGGTAAAAGTAATTAATTTGAAAAAAATTCTAGCTCATCCAAAAGTGCCATTGCCATTGATGATTGTCAATTCCACCAGTGTGTTAAGTTGAGTAAGTTTGAAAGTGAACATAGCATCAGTTTTATACCCCCGGATGGAGAATTTGAATTAATGAGGTCAGTTAAAAATTTTACATTCTTTCACTTTTGTAATGTAAAACCAGATGCAGTATAGAAATTCTTTGAAGCAAACTTTACTTTGTTAATGTAAGGATATTCAGGGCTATGTGGCCATATTTAATATATATGTTGGTTCTTTATTAAGAGTTATTAGTCTGAAGCTGTTGTTTCTTTGACTGTAATTATATATATATATATATATATATTCAGAAGACTCCGAGAGAAACTTTGAGGTTATTAAGTGTATGTATTAAATATACTTTTACATTTTTTGGAAAAATAGTAATGGCTAAGAACTGAGCAAATTTGATATGGTGGAATCTAGTAATTGTTTCTTTGTTCTCAGTAAAACTAGAGGCTTTACACTGTTTGATTTTAAAATATTTGCTTAATATGTTAGTTTCCGTTTTTTTATTCTTTTTTTTGCTTGTGTGTGTGTGTATCAGCCAACTAAGACTTCAAACAGAAATGTCACTTGATTGATGTATTTCTTTATCTAATGGATAGATAGTTTGAAATTATTCAGAAAACTACAAGTAAAGCTTTTAGAAATATTTACAGATACATTAGTTCAGTAGTTCACACAAAAGTGTTGCTTTGCAATGCTATAAATTACAATTCTCGTCTTTGATTAGGTATCGCATTACCAAAGATATCAACTTTCCATTCAGAATCATACCACTGGTCCATGAAATTGGAAGAAGTAGAATGGATGTGAAAATTGTGCTAAAATCAAACTTTAAGCCTTCTTTAATCAGCCAAAAGATTGAGGTGACATTCTTTATCTACTTACTGTAGAAACTATACTAAGAATGATTATTTCTTGATTTTACTAGAGCAGTTACTTTTTGATTTCCTTGGATGTTTAGTTCGATTATCTTAAGTCAAAGTATTGAAGATTGGAAAATTTCTCTGTGATGCTGCTTATTTTTGATACACTAGTACAGTGCTTCCCAAAGTGTGGTATACATACCTCTGGTGGTATGCGAGATGATGTTAGGTGGTTCATGGATGACTTTTTTATTTTAATAGTTATATATTTATTTTAATGTGTATTAAAAAAAATAAATTTTACATGGTTATTACATTATCTGCTGACAATTAAACATTGGCTATTATTCAGAGGGCGTGTGCGTCATCTGGTCCGCTCATTGGCTAGCCGCTATTTAGAGAGCATGCGCAATGACATACCAAGAACCATATTCATTAGTTAGTGTTAGACAAAGATTCTCATTTTATGATTGTGTGTCTGCACTGTTTTTTTCTTTTCTTTTGAACCCATCCTGGATCAGTGGTTAAAAACGTTATATTATTATTACTTGTATCATTAATTCTGAATTTATTTTCACTTTGTTATTACAATGTCATTTTGAGATGAGAAAAATAATGTTTTGAAATAAATATTATTGTAAATGATACTGGTTTTCCATTTATCCTAGTGTTATAAATTTCGTTTTAAAATAAATTTATTTATATATAAAAAAGTGAGTCGATTTAAAGAAAAATATTAAGTAAAACATAAATAATAGTACAGAAGGTGGTACGCGAATGACTGAAGTTTGGGAAGCACTGCACTAGTATAAATAGTAATTGTACAATCCTTTTGTGGACTTAAGCTATGGGACATATCATTGTTATAGTAAAAGCTTTGAAGTTAAAATCATACCTAAAAAATTGCAATTAAAAAATACAAGTAAACTTTTAGTGGGCTTTCATGAAGAAAAACAGAAATAAGTATGTTATGGAGAATAAGGGAGGAAAATAACCATTGTTATCTCTGTGGTAAAATCAGTTAAAGGTTTTGCATTTTCATTTGACTTAAGGGCTGCTAGGCAATAGTATTTAGAATTTTTTGTGTGTGTTTTCTATGGAAATATGGCACGAGTTTAAGAATATAGTCACTAGTTGGCTACTTGAAATCTACCATGACTAACTGTGATCTTTTAATAAGTATCCATCTGTATGTTTTAGATTAAGATTCCTACTCCACTCAACACTAGTGGGGTCAATGTGATTTGTATGAAAGGAAAAGCCAAGTACAAAGCCAGTGAAAATGCTATTGTGTGGAAGTAAGTAAGGTTTGACAGGCCCAATAAAACTTGTTTATTTTTTATTTTTTCATAAAGTATGTTTCAGTAAAGTACTTCATGAGTTGTAGAGTAATGTGTAAACTGATGTTAAGTAACAAAATTTATGACATGAACAGCTGAGAAATACAGTTTCGACCAGTGTTGCTGTCTTCAATCTAGTATGTTGATGGTATATATATATAGTCACTCAGTGGAGAATTATGTAGTTTAAAGTGTGAAAAATAGCTTGGTGGAGATCATAAGTATACTTCCATTGCAAACAAGGATTTAAAGCTGTTCTAGTTTCAATCTAAATTTAGCATTAAACACTTGTTTCATAACTAAAGCTGATTGTTTGACCTACTTGAACTGATAAGAGCTGACTTGCTCAGGTTTTGGCTGGTCATGATATGAGTTCTGTTGTCTAATGTGAACTACCATTTTTTTAATTTACAATTTAACAACAGTAAGAGGTAAAGGAAAGCTGAGTGATAAAGTTAGTTTAAAGACTTAATAGCCACAAACGTTGTTTTGGAATGAAAGAACATAAAGATGTATAACTGTTTCACTTGATAGATTTTTGGTATAAAATTTCGGTATTTTCAGAGTACCTTTTCAGTAAGTGTGACTGTTTCAGTTACATATATAGTAAGTGATTAAGGGGACATAAATTTTGCTGTTAATGCATAACTTTAGATGATCATTAATTATTGAAATATAATTTTTTTAAGTAACATTTTCTACACTGTGTTCTTTTGAATTACTTTAAATAATTTTTAAGCCTAAATCAAGAATAACAAACATATATAAAGAAATAGATAATAATAAACAAATTTCTAGAAATTCTACCAAAATGGGATCTACTTTTGACATTCATTCTTTTATTGATGGGTTTTAAAAATAACTTTGTAATAATTTCTAGTCTTAAGAACAGCATATTTATACTCTCACCTTCATAATTATTTTTGTTTTTTATGCATAAATGTTCACGACTGTAGCTTGATAAAACACATATACTTGTTTATATATTAGTGTCATAAGTAATGATAATATGGATATAGTTTATTTTGAATATACCACAGAAAAATTATGAAGATTGGTATAAAATGTAAAACCTCTTTGATTTGCTGAAATATCAATATATTTTGAAATCCAACAAGTGTGACCCTGGCTACTGCTCTATTCTTTTGAAACCTCTTGTCTACTCATGCCTACTTCTCTTAAGTGGATATTTATAGAAATAGCATATTCCAAAGTATGTAAATCTGACAGTCATTTCTAATTGGCTTGAAGGAAAAAATTGTAACTGATAGAAGGTGTTTAAGTCTATTGAGAAAGTTGCTGCTCTGAACAGAAATTAGAATTTTTAACTCGCATATAGCTTAGTTATAAAGCCAGATAAATTAGTGATTTGATAATTGTTTGATTTTCTAAAATGCATCTTTTGAAATCTATAAAAATTGTCTTCCCCCTCCACTTGAGGGAAAAAAAAACTAAGCTTACCACAAGGCTTAGCAAGTACAAAGCACAAGTACAAATCAACTTTGTAGCATTGTAAGTACTAGGAATCATTTATTTTCTATATATTTTTTATTTCTTGTGTTATGTTTGAGAAAAATAACTAAAAATTAAGCATTTTTGAGTAAATAGTAGTAACATACATACATGTTCATAAGCACTTACACACTTCGTACATCTATACTGTTAAATTTTGACTACCCCAGGAGGACAACTGACAAATAATTATCTCCCAAGATCGGCACAAACTTTGTACAGAACCATAACAAACATTTACTCTCACTTTTATTACTTTAGACAATTCTTGTTACAACCATTGTGCTATAAACAAGCCAGTAAATCCTCTCGCACTGTATTCTCAGAGTAGGGATTACGATAAGCTCTGTGGGAAAGTTCTGGTAATTGCACTGAATGAGCTTATTTACTCCTGACAGTATCGTATCATGGTGTCACGTAAATAATCTAATGGCAGGAGCAGTAATCCAATGCTTTATAATTGGCCAGTATTACTTGCCTTAATTTGCATTTTTCAACCTTTAAAGTTTTATGGTGGTCATGAGGTTTGTCAAATTGACCAACCCTGTACAGTTAGAGTATAGAATATAACAGATAAAATATGAAGGTTTTCTGAAAAGAAGTTTGGTATTTATTTTGCGGTTATGTGAATGAAATTTGAAAATTTTCAGATCAAGAAAAGTATTTTTAATCCTAACATTAAAATCACTTTGCACTCAGAGCAATGAACATTCTGATTCCATATATTCATGGACAGATTTTTAATAATAATACTCAGTTTAAAATTTTAACTTTTTCTTTACAAAATACTTGTAATTTTTATTAAAAGCTTGAAAAATTTTGTAAAGACTCGCAAATCATTTTAAAAGTTAGAGTATGGTCATTTGGGGCCATGTGGCTGTGTAATCCATCGAGTGAGTAATGAAAGAGTTAAGAGAATGTTTAAAACATTTGAGAATTTTGGAGTAGTACAGTTATATCACATTCTAATTGATGATTTAGAAGTAACTTTTAATGTAAATATGTGTATATTATTTGACATTTGCTTTATAAAAGAGTACTGTCTTAGTAGAACTAAAGAATATCAAACTTATGTTCCAAAATGAAAACTCGCCTCCATATGCGTATAAGATTTGCATGCTACTAGCCTTGAGTAATTCCCACCCAAATTCACATGTTTTATGTGATCTTCCTTAGTGTATGATGACATCGTCATCTGTTTGGCCTGCTTCAGGATCAGGCTTCTTTCCTTGTATTCCCTCTCCTACCTCCACCTTTTGTTTGAGGCACTTCCTTGTGCACCAGAGGGGTTTTCTGTGAAAGTTCCTTCTTCCTTTTTGCCAGCTAAGTAGCCTGTTCCACTTTCTCTGGCCTGTCTCTCCCTACTTTGGTCCTCTGATGTTGGGACATGTTAGGTTTTGTTATGTTTTTCTTTACTGTCTACCTTCCTTTTTTTTGTATGCATGGTCTTCATCAGTTTCCCTTTCTTCACCTAGACATCTTTGGTGGTGTTCTTTTCTATCTTGAGATCTTAACTGACGTTATATAACCCTGTGAGTACTTGTCTCTTCCTCTTCTCCTGACATTTGTCTCATTTTCTGCTTACAGTCGTTTTTCATTTCTTCACCATGGTCTTTCTTCTCACTTTGGCTCTTTTCACTCCTCTTTCCATTTCCTTTGCTCCTCCATTTAACTCAAAATATGATCTTTTTCACCCAGTCTTTGGGTGGCTATGATCAATGTGTCTGACACCTTCCTACACATTCCTCTTGACCTATCCTTCATATGTTTTTCAAGTTCCATCCATCAGATTTATATCTTCCAATTCCTTGCTCATCCCTTTGACCTAGAATTTGCCCCTTTTGTATTCATTTGAGTCTTGAGGGCCTTTTCTCACCATTTTCATAGCCCGGGGCTGGCATTTTTTTCTGGACTGTTGACTTCTACTGGCCCATTCTCAGTTAATATTCTCTTCTCACACCTCCCTTCTTTTACAGGAGACTACTTGATTGTGGTGGGTGGCTTGTCATGAGATACAAGTCTTTTTTTTTCACATTCACTCAGTCTTTGGTACTTCTGGCATTTTCTTCATCTCTTGTCTCAGCTGACATCAGCATTTTCCTTTTCACCTGTGGGCTATGGCATATTTAGTCACAAAGATTTGCACTTCTCACTCTCAACCTGCACGAGAGGTTTTTTCACTTTTGTGGTTTCTGGTTTCCCTGGCACCCCTCATTCCTTTGGAGTATATACACACATGTGCCTCCTCCATTGGACTTTGTGGATCCAAGGAATTCTTTCTCATGTTCCACTATCCTTGTTTATGAATCACATTGATGAATTGTTTTGGTGACTGGACTGGGCTCATACTACTTCTGGCATTCCCTTACCAACTTCCACACCAGATCTATCTCTTCACTGATGCTTCCATCTATGATTGAGCTGCATCTCTGGATGAGGACGTGACTTCTGGCATTTGGACACAGAGTGAGTGCTCACTCCACATCAGTGTGCTCAAACTTTTTGCTGATCTCATTCCTGCACCTACTTGTGGATCATTTGGTCATGATCCACTCCGACAATTCCATGGTCATTTCTTACATCAACCATTCAGTTGGCACCTGTTCTAGGACCCTTTATTTTTGAACATTGGACCTACTCTTCAAAGTCTGTATCAGTTTCGTCTTGTTGCCTGTCATTTGCCAGGAGATAAGGACTTGGTGGCAGAGTGGTCTCAATACCACCAGATTGGGCATGCCTTTCATAGATTCCTTTGCCACCTTTCTCAACTCTTAGCTTCCTCATTTCCGGTTCTCTGTTCATCATCTTTTGGCTCTGGCTGTTGATGCTCTTAGCAAAGCTTGGTCTCACTTCTTTCTGTATTCCTATCCTCCTCTTCATCTCCTCCCTCAGGTCTTTGCCTCGATATATAACATGCTTTGTAGGGTCCTATTGTTAATGCTTCTTTCGCCAGCTCAGTCTTGGTTTCTTCTGTTTTTCACCTAGTATCCACACCTACCTTCTTCTACCCAATATCCCCCTCTATTATTTCGACCTCACACATCCCTTCATCTTTACATGTGGGATATCTCAGGTTCTTTGCCTGGCAGACCAGACTCTCTGATTGTGTGGCTTTTTTTTTTGTCACATTCCTGTCATTCTTTCACTATATCTATGTATCAATGACAGTGATGAGACTTTCGTTGTTGATCCATTTGCCATTCATTTCCTCCTGGCCATCCTACTGTGAACCATCTTTCTGCCTTTTTACCTGGCTGTGCATTCATGATTTGTTGGTCTCTGCCTTTGCTGCTTATTGGGAATATTTCTATTGAATTTTGCCTTTCCAAGTTTCTTCTTCTATCCTCTCCACTCCTTCATTCTTTTCTGACCTTCTCACCTGACTCCCATGCCTGACCATGAGCTTAATGTGGTTTTGCATGCTCTCACATATTTTTGCATTTGAGCTTTTGGCTTCTTGCTTTTTATACTGTCTCTCTCTCCAGACTTATTTTTTCCTCCTTCGTGCCTGTGATTACTATCATGCAGATTTCAATGCTATGTATGCTTCTTGCACCCTCTTCCACTGCACTTATATTATCTTCTACGTGAACTAATCATTCCTTCCTCAGACCTGCTGCTCGGGAAGGTAACCATACTTTCTCTCCTGTCTCCCTCCCTTCTGTCTCTTATCTGTTTGATCATTCAGATACAGATTGGCTCCTGTATCCTGTTTTCTCTGTTTGGTGTTGCTTATCATGAACCTCTCTTTTTTCTGGTCCCTGTCATCAACTGTCCCTACCCTAGGATACCTCTTCTTCGAGGGACCTCTCTCTTTCTACTCTTACTGGATTGGTCCATCTGCTTCTCTTGTTGGTATATTTGTCTTTGGATCTAGATGCTTGCAGGCTATTTCACATTTCATTGCATACGATTTGTCACATTTCTCAATTTGTTGCTTCTCATCTTCACTGGCCCAAGAACGAGTCTCCAGGTGGGCATATGGATGACTCTCCTCTTGTTCTCTCGTTATCTACACCATCTGTCTGTTTTGTCTCCTGCTGAATTTTGACTTTCACTGGTTGCCATTCTTCAGTCAACCCACCATCTGTGAGAAAAATATGTATAATTTCTTTTTCAGAACCCCTTTCAAATTTCAAAGGATCTTGCCAGGTGGCTGGTATGCTTATTTCCCAAAATCTACATAAAGCTGGGATAATGAAAGTGCTCATACCATCTGCCCTGGCGTACTAGTGCCCATTGCAGGTTGGTATGTTCCTCTAAATCATTTGAGGTATCCTTGTGACAGACATACTTACTCAGTTGTCCAATCCAGACAGTACTAATTCCATGGACTATCACAGATAGAGATAGCACCAGAGAAATGTTCTGCCCACTTCTTTGGCTTGTGATTGCTGGCTTTTAGAAATAGGGTTTTGCAATCACACATTGCACTGTCTCCAGTAAAAGACCTTTCTGTCTGGTGGTCCAGTGGGAACCTGGGCACTTCTGGGCATGAAAGACCCTTAGCACTTATCACCTCTTAGCTGCTTGGGTAGTGAACCATGAAGAATCCTCACTGGTTGGGCTTCACACAATATGGTAAGAAGTATATATGTATTGGCTCACTGACCACTTGGGTGAAGAGTATGCCCTGGTCAAGACAAAATGCAATCTTCCATGGATGTGCCCCTATGGAGCCCTTGCCATCAGGTGTTAAGCCCATACCCCATGGGCTTCCCTTTGGGTGCTTTTTGAAGGGAGCTCATCTAGGTAGAATTTTTCTCTGGTCCTTCTAAAATCTCAGTGTGGGATTTTAGCATTTCTATGTGAAGAGGTGTGTTATTGCCTCGAAAGTTAACATTTCCTACTCTGAAAATGTTAGAGGTGTTCTAAGAGATATTTGCATATTAAAAATAGACTTGTAGAATAGATACTCAGAATTGTTCAATGTGAATCTTATTGTAATTTTCCTTTTCAAAATACAGTCAGCCATTTTATTGATTCAGGTTTTCCTTATAATCAAGCATTCCTTCAAAAATATTGAAAATAATATCTTTAATATTCCTTTGAAGGAATTTAAATATGTATTTTCAAAGTATGACTGAATATTTTGCAAAGCAAGTATTTTTATGCTTTATTTTAGAAAAAAAGGTGGTGAATAACAGTAATAAGTACTATAATGTTATTTTAAGAAGTCAGCACATTTACAATAACTGTTTAGCTAGTATTTACTGCTTTCATATTTTCAATAATTTATATTATGTGAAACAATTAAAATGAGATAGCTCAGTATAAAATGTTGAAAATAAATTACATGACTTTAACCCAAGTGAATTAGTGCTTTACCATTTGGATATATGTAATATTGTCAACATTTAACAGTACTTATTGCATCAATAGAATTAAGCGCATGTTGGGAATGAAAGAGACTCAGCTGAGTGCAGAAATAGCACTTCTTCAAACTGACACAAAGAAGAAATGGAACAGACCCCCTATCCTGATGAACTTTGAAGTAAGAATAATTTTGGATTACTTATTAATGGAAATGTAATTCATTAGGTCTGTTAATGCAAACTTTTTATTAAGTTTATTTGAGAGAAGTATGAAAGAAACATTATTACTGTGAGGTATAAATTTAATCAAACTCAACACAGATATTTCTTTGTAATACACTTTTAATAAATTGATCAATATAATTATTTAAAAATTACAAAAAATAGAACTTGAACCAGTGTATATAAAGCTTCAAAAAAGATAATCATATCAAAAGGTCTGAGAATGTTAAATATATATATATATAATTAGATAAAATTGAGATAATATTGTGATTAATTATTTTTAATGTCTTTTTTTTTTTTTTTTCTATGTAAGATTTCTTTTCAGTTGTTAGTTTATCATTTATATTTATCTTTATTCTATAGGTGCCTTTTGCCCCATCAGGTTTCAAGGTACGATACCTAAAAGTTTTTGAACCCAAAATAAACTATGGTGACCATGATGTTGTGAAATGGGTGAGATACATAGGAAAGAGTGGCCTTTATGAAACTCGATGTTAGCCTGCAATGTTAATAGCCATCCTGGAATGTGACGCTTATAATTATAGTGGATGAAAGCCACTGGAAAATAATATTTACAAAGCTGTTAACTCCAATATTTTCTATATATTTATTATAGTCATCATGGTTAAGGGAGTTTTGGGGAACTTTATAGTTTATCATTGTTAAACATCAGTTATATTGATTGAGGATTTTAAAGTTATGCTTTGAATCATGACATATGATTGAGGGTTTAAAGGTTAAACAATGAATTAAGATAATATTAATTAAGCTTCTTAAAATCATACTATAATTCCTTTATATCAAGATTATTTTCAAGTAAAAAATTTAGCATTCTTTCAAATATTTTGTAATTAAAAACAGTATAAGTTAAATGTTTCCTATTTTAGCTATCTTATTTGACAATAAACTTCCATTTCTAGTCCCAACACTTGTACACTGTGTTTAATTCATTACAGCTCAGTTCAGATTTTGCACAATATATGAATTGAACAGTATTTATTGCAGACTTCTCAAATACCAAATATTACAACGAAAATTGTTTTACAGTCCATTGCAGAATATTTTTCACTTGATTAAATTTTAAGTGATATTTAAGTAGCAGGTGAGGACTTTGATGTGGTGCATTCCCCTACTCTTATCTGAACATTAGTTCTGAACTATGTTTATCCTCTTTTGTCTAATTATGATATTGTTGTGATTCAGATATTAACTAGAGGGTGCAGGATATTAAAATCAAGAAGGCCTAGAAAGTTCTAAGTTTGATATCACAAAAATTTGGGAAGTGTCAAGAGATGAGGCTAAATTATAAATATGGGAATTAGTGTATTGCTCTCGGCAAACAGAAAGTAATGAATGAGTATTGAGTCATTAGGATGTCAGTCGGTCAGTTTTAGTCCAGTGAGATATTTAGTTTTAGTGAAGTATTTGGATCAGTGTTAGTTATAGCATATGTTCAGTTATTCAATTAGCTTTTAACTTGTGCAAGTAATTTTTTTTATGTCAGTCATATTATTTCCATTTAAGCATTATTTGTAAAGTTTCTTATGCCTACAAGTTACAATGGTTTACAAGTGAAGGCATCTTGTAGAAATATTAAGTTAAAAATAAACTAACTTGTTATCATTATGTTGACTGGGCTTCAAAGGATTTTTATCAAATAATTTATTAAACCTACCCAATGAAAGAATAACATTACAATCAGAAATGGGATTATTTTAGTAAAAATATAAAAGAACTTTAACTTTTGAGATGACCTCTCATGGCCAATGTCAAAGATTTATTGGTTCTCATGAAACAGTTAAAAGTTAGTCAAGAAGAGCGAGAGAGAAAATTCAGAAGAAAAATATAGAAATATAAAAGAAGACCAAGAGGTAAGGGATAAGAATTTAAGAGAGGAATTAAAAACAAAGAGAGATGTATTATTTAAATAATAATTAAAATTGGAAAAATATTGTGCTTGAAGACAAGATTGATAAAGCTACTGCAGATGTACAGAGAGATTACAACAAGACTGAAGAAGTACAGAAATGCTGTAATGACAAAATTGAAGTACAAAAAACAGGAGAGACAACAATGAAGGATACCAATGATTTGAGAGCTATGTTCCTCTGGATCCTTGACATTAAATAAAAATAGAAAAAATCTGATTTCAGATGCAAAAGTTGACTAGGTTGTAATTGGTTAAAGGTTCAGCTTAGTGTGTAGGTTAAGACATATACAGCTATGATCATGAACTAGTGATTGATAACATGGTACATCTACAGGTTTAAAATGTACTCACACTTATCCATGCCCATGAAACAAATGTCCAAGGAACTTGAGGATTTCATGATCCCCTAACATCTTTGGGCTTTCCTTCGGCCAACTATCTGTGGTCATGCTGCCTTCTGTTGCTCCATCCATACAATAGGAACATGCATGCTACACACTCCAACCCAGCCTCATCCCTAGACTACTATTTGGCTGGCACATTAACAGAACCTGGTTTTAGTAGGAAAGAATGGGGTAGACATTACTTAAGGCCTTGACAGTCAAGCTAGTATGGCTTAAGTGCTGCCAATCTCACCTTTGACTACTAGTCTTTGCCAATGATCTTATTATCTTTCTTCAGAGACTTTCTTCCATTTTCAGATTGTAGAACAGTTATGGCACAAGCTACAAGGTTTGACCAGATGGGAGTTAACTTCTACCACCATCCCAAACTCAAAGTAAAGCCTGGATTTTAATGTTTTAAAAGTGTATTTTTAACGAAACAACATTAGGAAAAAATTCAATAAAACTTTGTTTATTATATGTATTTCAATTTGCATAACTGAAAATATTCCTATCACAACCCAGTAAAATACTAGGTACACCATGTGTATATATTTTTTATATCTAAATCTTCATCTGTAAATTTCATGTAGTACTTAACAATTTTATCTACTCTTTAATATTTCAACTTGGTCAAGATAAAATGTTCTTACACTATACTTTTGAGAAACATCAGGTAAACCTGTGTTTTCTCTCTCTCTTACCATAGTAAAAGGCTCTTTGTTTTTATCGTCACTTCCATTTAGTCCCTGATCATACAGATCAGCGACTGTTCTAACTGTTGATAATTGAGTAGCAGCCACAAATTGTACTTTAAACATTCTGCCAGGCCTTACTACTTGGAAGGCAAGATATGCTATTTCATTTCAATAATTAGTTGCATAAACTAATGACTGTCTTAACTTTGAAGATCTAGCAGTATGAAGTGCATACACCATGCTTCAAATAGTACTTGATGGCTTGGAAAGCAAGGGCCTCAATGTCCTTTCGGTCAGTAATATTTCGACCACTTCACTGACCTAGCTTTGATGGTCAGGTGGTAGTAATAAAATGTAATCCATAGATTCTTCCAGACCTGACTACCCATTTTCGAAGAAAGGAAGGAATGCTACTTCCTTTCAATTATCAGGCTCTCAATCTAATCATCATCCTAGCTATCAATAATCAATATTGTCCATGTTGATTAGGAAGCTTATGTTGGCACTTCTTCCACAATTCAGAGCTAGTAATCACTTTTATTTCCAGCAATGCCACATCTGGTTCATGGAAGATCACCAGATAAATATCCACAGTTTCATCTTTTTAAGGAATTTGGTTGAGACGACTCAAGACAATGTCTTTTCTGACTCATTGGTTTCCTCTCCAGACTTGTGGTAAAGCTAGTGTACCAGAGGCTCATCTGTGATGTGTGGACACAGCTTATCAACATGTTACACACGCTTTTGCAGAGCTCACATCAGTTGTAGCTCATTCATTAAAAGACTCACTTGTTCGAATATCAGATATGGACCAATCCAAATTGCTTTCATGTGGCTGGCACATACCACAACCACATTGTAAAATCCATTCTTTCACTATCCAATTGTCATTGTGCTGTGTTCAAGGGTTGTTGTTAGGCATATTCATTTGTGTTGACCTTAGCAATTCTACATACTCTTGGGGATTTCTCGTAGTGGAGGATCATACATCATGTCCAAAAAGAGCAACACTTCATATCTGAACATGAGCAGGTTCTACAAACAGCTTATTGATTCCTGTTCCTCTGCTGTGTATGCCATCGTCACACATGGCAAGTGTTCATCCCAATTGTTCTGTCTAAATTAATAAGCTTCACCTGTTCTATAAAACCATCAGACAGGGGGATAATAAGGTAAAGTACAAGTCTTCACACCACTTAACACTTTACACAATTTAGCAAACTGCAGGCTGTTGTAATTAGCTTCCTGGCCCGTGTGGATTTTTTTTTGGTGTTCCGAAATTTGATATCCAGTTCTCAGTTAAAATATCCATAATGGTCTGTTAGGGTATAGACAAATGAATAAGCTTCAATCCATTTTGTGCAATTACCAATGATGATAAGTGCATAACAGCAACTTCTTGCAGTCTCTGGGAGTTGACCAACAATTTACAGGCTATCCTATGCAGAGGAGACTCGACAGCCTGTTCCCGAGTTCATCCATTTCAGTCAGGTTACTGATCATTGGGGATGTGATCTACTTGGCCTTGCTCATAAGGTTTTGTGTGTCAGGGCAAAAATCTCTCATACTCCTGATGGATGACAGGAGAAAATGCTGCCAATGCCCTCATTTCTGGTCAGAAGCCATTCACAAAGACCCCTACACCCCAAAGGATGCTCAATCCAGGGCTTTTAAATGCCCTATATACTTTTGTGTGCAATGTCTCGGTTCACAAAGCCTTATTACCTAAGTACATTCACCTGTATTATAAAAAACTTCCCTCAAGTTGATCTTATAATAATTTTCAAACCCTCTCCAACTTGCAAGATTTGTCTCTGATAAGAACAAATTACTAATCCCATACATAAGCAAAATCAAATATCATCTCAAAGTGAGAGTTTATGGGATGTTCAGTGAAAATTGCTACAGTGCTAAAAATCCTTACTCCTCTGTAATATATAAACATAATGGAACCAAAGGACATGTAGTCTTTTTTTCTCTCAAACTTTGCAATCTTAGCTACAGCTAAATAACACAGTACTTTTGATAAAAGAAATTTTATGTATTAACAACTTTTTTGTCATTTTGGAAATGAGCTAAAGGCAGTATTTTATTTTGCTTTTTGTCAGGTATTTATAGAGCCTGGATTCTTTATTGTAGGTGTCTGAGACTTATTGGCAGTAAATTTCAGCAATAAGGGGACAGCACACAATCCACTCGTTTTAAAATAATATATTCTAAACATGTACAAAAATAAAAATATTCCGTAACACTATTGGTTATCACAGTTGAATCCAGAGCTTTAAATAATTGTCTCTTTTTCGTCTAAGTCTACACAGGCATACTAAATTATTTTAGAACACCCTATAACAAAACAAATTATTTTCCTTTATTATTACAATACAAGGCTGTGATACTCACTTTAAAATCACTACTATAACATTAACACATTGTTACGTCTCCGTTTGTTAATTAACTTTCCGTAACTTCGTTCCGACGAAACTTTAGCGACACAAGT